CGCCTGATTTAAATGTCACACCTGAACGCTCACATCCTTTTAATTATGTTTGAAATTATGAACATTGCTCAACATCATGAAAATTAAACCTTATTTTCAATAAGCAATCCTGAAAAATATTTGGGGGTGCTTAACTTTTTTCCAGGTGTATACATCGTTGCTTAGCAAAAACTATCACCTCATTGTTCTTAGGCCAACTGTGGTGTTTATGTAGAATTATACACAGACTTTTCTCTGCATTAAAACACTTTTATTTGCAAACTTTCGGCCCTCTTACCGGATCCTTAATCGGGGAACAATGTACAATTTACCTACGTTATGAGTCTTAGCAATTAGGGTGTTTACGTTGAATGCTCAATATTCAAATTGATTTCCTGGAGTCCAATGCGGGACACCTAACTGATGAATAAATTTTTGTTTGCTTTAAACTACTTTTCATAAAAAATACATACAAGTTATTTTCATATTATTACATCCTCAATAAGTATGTTATTATCCATATATTTGAACGTTAATATGTAAAAATGAAGAATATTGTACGAGGACAGGACAAATCTTAGGTTTAGTCATAGTACGGTAGAGCTTATCGGTATAAATTTTGATAATGCGGGACGTTTAAGTTCATTATCTCCCAAAGCGGGACGTTTTCGCGTACTCTAAAGGTTCTGGGGATAGACCGCTCGAAAACGAGGGTGTCCCGCCGAAATCCATACGTTCGGTCACATTATATATGTATAATAATTGTTATTTGAAAATGGTGTTTCTATTTGTCGGTTTGTTTAATCTGCACCAGATTAAACATACAACTTTTCACAAAACATCATAACGCAATACATAAAAGTAAGACCACAACACGTAGTTCTGAGACTAAAAGACGTAGGTTTCTAAAAAAATCAGAATGAATAAGGGTGCACATTCGTTTGACATCAGTGTTCTTCCCTTTTCTTCAGTTTGTTTGTATTTTTTTTAACAAACATAGTAATAAAAAATTTTCACTGTGGTAAACGAAATAATAATATGATCTGAGTAAGAGTTTTTTTCTTCCCGATATGTAAAAAATCCTTACGCGATAAAAAATAATGAATATTCTCGAAATCTGCTTTACTGAATTTTGGAAAATCCATTATTAAAACCAAAACAACTTTTATGAAGTTTAAATTTGCAGGCCTGTGTGTAATCAGATTTCCGCACCTGGTAACATCAATTTTATCACTCGCGTGATTCGCGCAAATCCGGTGAAAAAAAACAGGGGATACAGCTTTAGTACTGTTACGTCTATATTCGTTTGTTAATTTCCCGTAAAAATTCTTTCCGAAGAACTTCAGCGATACAAGTCCTTTCTTAAATGAAACTATTTTATTCTTTTTCAATACAACTTTGCAATACACAACATTTCCACATTCACTTTAACTTAAACACACGCTATAACTCACAACGATTCACGCACTTTACTTATGGTCACTACCGTTCACTTGATTCAAATATCTGCTATTATATCTCCACTTTATTTTCCGGGCTTATATACAAAAAATAGAGTGCGTCTGGCAAACACTAGAGTTGCCAGGAACAGTCATGATCTAGAAACTCATGACTGTTACCAGCGTCACGTGACTTCCGCTGTCGTAACAGTACTAACTTTTCAAAATGCGTACACCAAACACAAATTCTGTTTTAAAATGCCTACAAACTCTGAAAATTACATGTATCTATTATGAGCAGTAATTGTTTTTGCTTTCTCACCATCGGCTGACACTCCCAGTATTCAAGTGTTTGCCGCATAACTAAGGCTTCATTTATATTAGATGGTAACTAACTGAAACGGTATGAAATGCATGTTCCTCAATATCAGGCATTCTTTGGTGTAATCCAATAAATCTTTGAATAATTGTTGATAAGCTCAAAGGTCGTGACTGTGTCTTTCATTTACTAAACTCAAAGAAAAGGTTTTAATTACCAAATGACATATAACGCTAGCTGTTTTTCCAATTGGTTACTTACGAAATTGAGAAACAAAGTTTTAATTGATAAATGACGAAAAACGCTAGCTCGTTTTCCTAATTGGTTATTTCGCCTACAGATCCGAAGTTGTTATCGCCGAGTTCACATAGACCAGCTAAGAGAATTATTTTAAGAAATTATACTTTAGTTAGAAAGCTAGTTAGATTACAATAGTTATAGGACATTGTTTGCTTTGTGAATGTTATTATTTTGTGTTCTTAAGTGCATGTATGAAATAAAAAAATTAGAATTATTTGATGTACTAGTACCACTGGCGGGGCTGACAGCAGAAAAAACAAAGAAGCCACACTTAAATACTAATTTTTTTGTTTTTTATGTATATTTATTTATTTATTGTTATAAAAGTAACGAAAATATAAAAATGAGAAACTTTAAATTACATAAGAAAACATAAGTGAAAACAGTTAAATAAAAAAATTAATTTTCAGCACAAGCTACTTGTGAGTTACGTGATTTATCTACGTAACCTGTGGATACTGTTCAAAGAGCAATACATCAATAAAATGAAAAGGAAATAGTTGTGAAAAAGATTTAGGACTGAATGTTTTAGGATGAATTATTGTCATTATCTGTCAGTCATTCTTGGTTCGTATTTTTAGGGTGGTTAGAAGGTTGGTCAAATTGACTGAATCCTTAAACTGATATGGTAAAGAAAATAACAGATACAATATAAAGTTTTACTGAAAGAAAAACTTGATATTCAGTTAGGAGGTTCTAAACGTTATGCAAATTAAATAAAGAAGGTTAAAGATATGCCTTTAACATGTATAACATTTACATAATTTAAGCCTCCCTGTGGACTTACAATGGTAGAAACTGGGTTTCAATACCCGTGGTGGGCAGAGTATAGATAGCTCATTGTGTAGCTTTGTACTTAAACTACAAACAACTATAATTTAATGTATACTATAAAAATTTGCAAGGTTTAAGTACCATTCAAGATTTAGATATCATCAGTAAATTACTGCTGATGTCTCAGGAAATATTTTCTAAGTATGAGCTATTTGTTTGAAGAAGTTTAGCTTGTGAGAGCGGATACACCCCTGCTGGCTGCTGTGCTCCCTCGCTGCACTTTCCTCCCCTTCTTCCTGTCTTGGGTAGCATCCCTGTTTCAAGTCGGTGTTCTAACTAGGGGCGGATCTAGGACTTTCAAAGGGGGACCCAAATGATTAGTTATCAGAGAGTGTCGTGGAGCTTGCTCCCTTCTGAGAAGCTGGAGAATTTTTGAAATCTAATTCTAATTTCCTGACACTTTTCATTGATTTTTTTGCTAGATATTCTCTTTGTCGAATTAACAAAAAGAAATCAGAATGATCAACACTTTCGACAACCACTGAGAACGTCTTTTCCTTCATTTGCGGCACTGATTGTCAGAATCGAGAGTTAGAAGCGACTCCGAAATCAAGTTATATCAAGTTCTATTTGCTGATAGGCTAGAGAAAGTGATGAAATGTTTGATGTTCGCACCATGAAAAGGGCTGCTTCAGAAACCTATAGTGGATTTTATATCGATCATAATATTTTGGAAGAAAGGATCCTTTACAGCTATTTTCAACAATTTACACGGCACAGTAATACGAATATAACTGATACCAGGAATTAAATAAATATAGTATTTCTACTACTTGCATCTCCATTTTCTTCTTATTTCTATTTAATGTTTTACTATTTCCTTCAATTTCGTTTTTGTACTGGAAAGGAGGATCTAGACACCCCCCCCCCCCTTATAATAGACACCCTACTATAAAACGAGTTCTGAAGAGATATTGTTACGACAGCGTGGGTTACGTGAGGACAGCGGAAGTCAAGTGACGCTGGTAGCACGTGTTGAGAGTCTTAGAAGTTTCTAGAACAGGCAGTATTATCGTATATAAGTGCGCTAGACAGTGAGAGAGGGAGATGGAGTCGAAGCAGTAGTGGAGACAGAGACGTAGCAGAGACGATGCAGGCAGAGAGAAAGAAAGACAGCGATTATGGTCAGCGGGAACTGAGGATAGCAGACACAGTAATCGGGACAGACAGTTAAGTCCAAGCACGATAGAAAGTGAATGAATTGTTGTGAACTATAGTGTGTGTAACTGT